GTGGGGCAGTGTGGGGCAGTGTGGGGCTGACGGCGCCGCGGCAGGAGAGCGGGCGGCGGCAGAAGCAGCAGCTGGCGCAGAGCTTCGAGGCGCTCTACGCGGTGCTGGAGGGCCGCAAGCAGGAGCTGCTGGGCGCCGTGGGGCGCGAGCAGGCGGCGCGCGAGCAGCGCGTGCGCGGCCTCATCCGCCAGTACGGAGACCACCTGGAGGCCTCCTCCAAGCTCGTCGAGTCGGCCATCCAGGCCATGGAGGAGCCCCAGATGGCCGTGTACCTGCAGGTGCCGTGGGGCAGGGGCCAGGGGGTGTGGGGCGGCCCCACGGCTCCCGGGGTGCTGGTGGCGACCGGCATCGGGACCCCGGGGGTTGCTGCCCCAGGGACTGACCCCCACTTCTCCTGCCCCCACCACAGCACTCCAAGGAGCTGCTTCAAAAGTGAGTTGGGCCATGGGCGCCGTGGGGCCCGTGGGGCAGTGGGGCCCGTGGGGCTGGGGACGGGGGGGCTGGGCTGGGTCCATGGGGGCTGCTCCGTGTGTGGGTCCTTGTGCTTGTTTGGGTGCAGGTGCCGACCCGTGGGTCTGTGTGTGGGTGCCAGGCCTGGGGCGGGGTGTGGGGCGACGTGGGGCAGGGCGGTGCTGGCCCTGGGGGGCAGTGCGTCGGTCACGGGCAGTGAGCGGGCGCCCACTCCGTGTGTGGGTGCATGTGGGTGCTGCAGGGCTGCATGTGGGTGCTGGGTGCTTGGAGACAGTGCAGGGCTGGTGCCAGCACCGTGGGTCAGGGCACGGGGCTGTGTGTGGGTCCGTGGGCACACGGGGCACTGCAGGTGCCGGGTCTGTGGGGCAGCCCCTTGGTCGGTCCATAATGTGGGCGCTTGGGGTGAGGTGGGGCCGTGTGGGTGCCGGGTCCATCCTTGCCATGCCGTGGGGGCGTCCACGTGTCCGTGAGTGGGTCCATGTGTCTATGGTGGGACTGTGGATCTGTGGGTGGGTCCATGTGTTCATGGGTGGGTCTGTGGGGGTGTTCATGGGTGGGTCTGTGGGCCCATACACGGGACTGTGGGTGGGACCATGTGTCTGGGTTTGTATGTCCATATGTGGGTCCGTGGGTGGGTCTGGGGGGAGCGTCCGTAGGGGAGGTCTGTGTCGGGGGGGGTCCATGGCTGGGTCTGTGGGTCCGTGTGGGGTCCATAGGGG